ATTGGGAATTTTGAGTTTATTATCTCTCACAATTTACTTAAGAAATGGCGAGCTTAGTGCAGCAAGAGTTAAAGAAATTTCAGCATATATTTTCTGGAAATAATGCAATGCGCTACACACAGTTATTTCTTTTTAGCAAAAGAAGCAAATCTCTGTTTAATAGTAGTAGATAAAATTATACTAACCTAATCGTTTACAAATGTTTCTTCTGCCTTTATTTGACGTATATAAGGGTAAGCAGAGGATGCTTAAGGTCTTTAGTGTTTTACTAAGTACGCGGAGGACATTACCACTATAAATTGCATAAGATTGGCGTGTAAGTAGTTAGTGGTGGACTACTCACCTAGAAAAGGAAGCAGCGTTTTAGGCTCAAGACATAGGAGTATTTTTAAATCAGTTATTCTTATAGCAATGCATCAGCGCTTTAAAGCGACCAACGATAGTGGTACCGTATCTTCCAAGTGGTCATTAATGGCAGCCTTATCATCGGCGTTTCTTAAGTTAAATCCTTCGGGTCCCACTTGCAGGCTAATCAATGAGAATGGGACTAGGAGCTTAGCACTACAAAGTCAAAACAAATTATTGCTAAAATCAACATCATTATTGTCGGTATTGCTAGGGTCTTCTCATTTAAGTTATTTACTCTTATAAGAAAAGATGCAATCATCTGGTAAAAAAAGCTGAAATCATGTGACAGGGGGTGACTCATTGCCTATTATACCAGTGGGATAGATAACTGCCCTTCCATTCCCGCAGTTGTGTAAGAATGCGGGGCCGAAAGGTAAGGCAAATTGTAATTTGAATGTGGAATCCATTATGTCGGTGGCTACCATACTTTATCCGGTCCCACTTTCAGTCATCGCCAAATAAAAAAAGCTAGGACTGCAACAGTCTATACCAAAATGCATTCTTCCGTAATATATTGTTTACCTGGACGTGCTACACCCAGGTTGAAACCGGCCTTAACCTACTTCTCCTAAATGGTTTGATCAGCTGCATCTATACGGGGTGTCAGCCAAATCGTTTGATAATAGGCGTATTTCTTCACTTTGTCCATGAGAGAGTCCATTATCTTTGTCAAAATGTACCCCTCAGGCTTCCATTTCCGACTATGTAGTCGCCGTACAACACAAGCCGCTCTGAACGACACCCTAGTGCTGTATCATGCTCCTGCTCGACGAGATCAGAAGCTGATGCCTAAACCAAAATGATTGCTGGGCTTCATTTCTAAAATACAGTTTAATCACATAGAAGAGCCTGGCCAAGTTCATATTCTGTTTGGATTTATTGCAGAATTATCGAAGGCAGAATAAAATAACCTTTATCTGCTAATTGGTCGGACATCGCCAGTCTCTTTTGGTTTGCTCTGTGGCCAGAAACGATGGAACGGTGAGTGAGCCCATCCCACCTCCTTTCGTCGTACCACCATAGATGAGCCAGCTAAGTGACAACTTAGACACGCCACATGCTGTGTTGTGCTACGTGATTAGGCTTTCTAAATGTTCCGGTTGCAGACAAATTCTGCACCAAATGGCATGGACTGGGAGCAATTTGACACTACACTGAATTCCATTGGCAAATGCAATAAAAGTTAGGTCGGACTTCTCGTGTATTAACCTACCCTTTGTAGAACTTCCAACATGCTCTGTGTGACAGAAACAGCAAGTATTGAAGTGGGTAAGGTAGTTTGGGTCTTTTCTTTTCCTTAAGACTTATGAGAATATGTAATTTAACAAAGGGATGGGAGTGAAAGTAGACGAGGATAATGAAGTAAAAGAGAAGGAAAAGGAGGCTACAGGGATAGTGATATGACAAGGACAAACACAGACTTAAAGGTGATTAATGTCGTCATGAGTGCTCATCACCACCGTGGTGACGTTTCGATTGAAGCTGTACGTAGACTGGCTGCGGCCGGATCACACAGAAGATCAGTTACTGCAAAACTTTTCCAGTAGAGTACCATCACTTAGTGAAATAACAACTGGAGAAGATTCGTTCAGTTCTTTTGAACCTCAGGTAATCATAAAGCGCGCAGAAAGCATTTGGAGTCCGTAAA